CCACGCCAATATGATCATTGACAACACAGCAGAAAATAATTCTAATGTCTGCAGCTCGCCGCTCTGACAGTGAGAGAAGAAAAGTAGTTTCTCCCTGTGACATTCGGAGAGATATTTACCTTGTAAAGATCTTGACATTTCACGACACGCTCTAATAACATCCTGAAATATGAATAAGAGTGCAGAGAGTGGAAAGGAGCCCCGCAGAGCTTTTGTTAACAGGTATTGATTGATACTAAGGGGGTAGGAAGGAAGGAGCGGAGGGAAGGGGCCACGGGGAGCCTCTCTTTACTGATCATCTGTTAACCTTGTCAAAAGATCTCGCCTGCTACCTCCAACTGGCCGGGGGCGTCCTCCACGGTCATCAGAGAGGCTGTTATTTCCTTATCAAAGAAAAAAAAATCCAGCCGAAAGCGTAATTCACATGTTAGACAGAGGATGTAAGACACAGGGATCGATGCTTGGAAGCAACAACTAGCAGCGGTGGGGACCGTACTGCTGCAAGACAGGGATGGACATCTTTAGGAATATGGCTGCCACTTTAAAGCTTCTAAAACTAACATTTTAAAGAACGAGGCAAATCATGCTTGTTTTTGCTAAATACAAATATATCTTGATCTTCTCATTCCCCCCCCCGCCCTTATGCCTGGCTTTAATAATCTTCTGACACTATAGCTTCATGTTCTATTATTAAGTTTCCAATCCCATCCATTACAATGTTTATATAGATTTCCCTGAGGCTGTAGCTTAATGCTAACACCTGAATTGCCAGGTCTCATTTAAGCATGCTAATTGGCACTACACACAAAGTGTAGCTGAGAATGTGTCATTAGATTTGCATGGATTTAGTCGTGTAAAAGCTGATGGATATATAGATTACCTGCATGCACAGGCCTGTACTCTTTTAAAACAGAGCTACAAACTTAAATGCACAGTCCTACAATGCTAACATGACAAGTATAAATTATATTTGGAGGTGTTTGGGGCAGATTCCTGCTGAGGTTTGAGTTCACGGGTTGAACTGCACACTGCAGCCCAAATGTACAATATGAACTTTATGATTGCTGTGATCAAGAAGAACCCCAGGGAAATGAAAATGAGTGCATACATTACCGCATTTTTATTCAAAACCTCCAGGAACTCAAGATGAGTGCATACATTAATGTTTTATTCTAATGACATGTAAGTTATTGCACACAGTAGCTCCGGCTAATTCTCCTGCCATGGTTCTAAAAAGCAGTTTAAGGTAATTACAAGAGATTGTTTTGAATGGAAGACGAATGGCTTGCTGCAGCTGAATCAATACTTTACTACAGTTCGAGACAGTGCTGCATCATTTGCCGAAATTACCACCATTGATTGGTTACCATCAGTCATTATAATTTCATTTTAAATGACTGTAAGGAAGGATGGGAAAACTAACTGGGATATTTTGTTGTTTGCCATAATATATTGCGTTTCTTCCAAAGGATATTGAAGAGGAGTTGCAGGAAAACAAAGTTCATTTCCTGCCTCGAGCGATACTGAGTAAACCCGAGTAATGAGTGAGCTTCAATTTTGCCTGATTCACTTTAATGGCTTAACAGTTTTGTTTCTATGCTGCAGACGAATGTGTCAAAAACAACTTTAATTAACAGATGATTTCGCTCAACTGAACAACTTCTGCATAGCTCATTATCTGACGAAAGTTCGAGCACCCAGGCTAAAAACTGAGAGAAAGAGCGATAGTCGGGTAAAAGGTCAAACGCTGTGCTAATGAGCTTGAATCATGCCATTGACCACCCACGCGCTGTTGACTCTCAAGCACTTATAGATTTTTCGCCTCTGTTCCTCCTGCTACCACTCGACTCCACGACCTTTCACACTCATCTTTTCTCTCCATCCATCTCTTATCGTTTCCTCCAAACCTTTTTTTTTCTCTCTTAAACTTTCTCAAACATGACAGGTCTTTGAGTTCCTTGAGTTGTGCTCTCTCTCAGGGCGTGACTGCGGGAATTAGAGAGGATATCAGATAACAGAAAAGCTGCTGATTCGGCCCTTTGCCCCAACAGTCCAAGATCACCTGGAGGGCAGCTGGTCTTATAACCGAACTGCTGAAGTAATCATGAAGGACACTGGCTGTCTCTGAACTCTGACTTCTGATAAAAAACATATTTGTGGAGGGACCTTACTGCTGGTACACTATCACCTGTTATCATCATGCTTAAGAGTCTAAAAACTGATTTGTTACAGCAACCAAAACTTAAAGTGCTTAACCCAATTGTTCTTCTATTTACTTACATTTAAAGCTGCATTTACCAACATTTGATATGAACAATGGATCTTATGATGATGTGTGAAAAAAGGAGAGTGAATATTGGATTAACATATCTCAGGAAGCCACAAACAAGACTACAAATACATGCTAACTGGAGTCTTACTACCCACTTGACTTTTTAACTAACGTATCATTTGACAAAAGACCATCAACAATATTACTTCTACAAAAATGTATGGTAAATACTATCGTAAACTTGCTAGCATAAAACATAATCATATAACTTTGTCAACTCACTGACTAACATATTGGTGTCACCTGTCACAGTGCCTTGTGGACGTGTGTGTGTGTGTGTGTGTGTGTGTGTGTGTGTGTGTGTGTGTGTTTAGGATGAGTGTTTCTGTGACAGGCTGATTTACAGGCCATTGGTGTGTTTAATGGAGCCGATGAAGCAATGATCGCTCATCCAATCCTCTCTCGCCTACTACCCCTTTCTGCTTGGGCCTGATACTACCAGCCATTTTTAACACACACACACAACACACACGCAAGACATCTATGTGATGCAACAAAGTGGTCACACATATACCCCAAAGTCTACCCACGCGCACACACAAATCCTGCTTTATAGGGGATAATCCAATGACAGCCAATTTGCTGGAGGGATATACTTTTTTTTATTCCATTCTTTATTTATCCATCGCTTTTGCTTTTACAAGGCAATTTGTTAGGTGGCCAGCTAGAGGAAGGAAGTATTAACCTAGACTTCCATTACCATGCTCACCCCGATCTCCTGCTTCTCCCCCTCGCCATTCTTTTAAGATTAAGCTGGCCACCCAAAAAAAAGGAGGTCCAGTGTAATCATGAAAGTGTCACATTTCAGCTGAGAGAACAGAAGGCGGTGGCTTCAGGGTCAAAATCCCCTGACTCTAAATGTTACCTCGTCCATCCCTCCATCACTTATTTTAATCTGTATCCCTTCTTTTTGCTCTCCGTTTCTTTCTCCTGATGTTGTCCTCTCCGTGTTACCTTCATTCCTCTCCAGTCTTGTTATGCCTCCTCTCCCTGACAGTGGTTCAATAAGCAGTGCCTCCAGAGTGGTCTTGCTCAGTCAGTGGCCAATTACCCAGTCACACTGCATGTCCTCTGGGACGGACAGGATTAGCAGGATCTGTCGTCTGACCGGACACACACACGCGCACACACTCAGCCCTGGACACCTGTCACTTAGACAACCTGTGGGTTCTTTTTTGGTTCTTGGTTTAAAGAGAAAAAACTCCACCATCTTTTTCCCTCCAACAGGCAATGTGACAGGCCAGTGAAGAGAGGCACAGAGTGGCTGTGGAGAGGAGGACATGTATACTGTATCAAATGAATAAAAGCTCAGTACATGCTCCAGCGGTGCAGGTGGTCAGTGTGCGATGGGTAACCATTAGAGCAACTCTCAGGGATCAGACCTCAGCTGAAGGGCAGCTTGCTCAGGGCGAGCTGAATATGCAACGTGATGCGAACAGCAGCCAGTGAAAGCAGAATCAGAAACGTTATGTCACAACTCCCCCCAAGGCTCAGCTTCTGCCCTGTTTAAGCATTTCACTCCAGTGTCTGCTATTTATTATAGACTGTAAAAATGTAACTTTATCGTCTCATTTACTCTAAATGGTCATGCTTTGTTGAAGAAGACTTGAAACCAACAATTGAGTCTAAAAACACTGCAAAAACGCCCTGTCAAATTTAAGGCCAAACGTTAGATATAAGCATGCTTGCACTTAAAACAAGCACATTTGGCTGCCAGTGCAGTAAGCACATTTCACTTGATAAGATGTCTTAAAACAAGTCAGGCTGTCCGACTATCATTATGGCACATACAATCTTAAAATAAGATTAAAAAGACTAATTTCAAGCAATCTAGTTAAGCCTATTTAATGCAAAAGAAGCCTATTATTAGCGATTAACCCAGCTTCCCCAAATGTCTTTCTTTTTGGTGTCTGTATACGCCGGGATCCGGAGTCATGGATGATCCTGCGCTCCTCTGTCCTGGATCGCGAGCCCTGGATCTTGAGTCGTGGCTGTGGTCCTGGATCATAGGTCCTGGATGGATATCCTCGTGGATTCATCTTCCTATTATACACACATGCATTTCCAAACATTTGGACTACCTATGTTGCAAATGTATTATCTTTTCAATTTACACACGGCATCTATTGCACGTCTGTCCGTCCTGGGAGAGGGATCCCTCCTCTGTTGCTCTCCCTGAGGTTTCTCCCATGTTCCCTTTAAACTGTGGGTTTTCTTCGGAAGTTTTTCCTTGTACGATGTGAGGGTCTAAGGACAGAGGGTCTAAGGACAGAGGGTCTAAGGACAGAGGGTGTCGTATTGTCATACTGATATTTTGTACAAACTGTGAAGTCCACTGAGACAAATGTAACATTTGTGATATTGGGCTATATAAATAAACATTGATTGATTGATATTATCACTCAAAACTAGGGTACTTTTAGCATCAAATTACTTAAAATGAGATTTAGGGAGACGTGTGGCACAGTGGATAGTGCGTTGGGATCAGGGGAGCATAGGTTCAAACCCCACTGCAGTCAGCATGTCGTTGTGTCCCTGAAGACACCACAGTATTGAGTATGTAAGTCGCTTTGGATAAAAGTGATAACAAGTTACATGTAATGTAATTCTTGTTTTTAGGGAGATAAATTAGAACACATGCTCTTAAAATAAGTAAACATGACAATTCTTTCAAAAAACACGTTTTTATTAAGTCAGTCCATAACAAACAGGATCATTTATTAAATGAACAAAGCTCTTCAACATATATACATCCTCATAGAACTGACAAACTGGACACAGAATTCAAGTTCTCTACTTTTTTGTGAATTCTGCCCATTCAGCTATTGCTTTTTTGTATGAATGAGTAAGGTCACGCTCGTGAATACTGTCCTTCAGTACCTCAGTCTGGATGACGGATAGGAGAGTAGCAACACATTTGGGGTAGGTGAGGTGGAAGGTGTTAAAACACCCCATCAGGATGAGTGGAGCCTCGTGCATCATTTCCCTAGGTAGGGTCATCAGTGGGATTTTGCCAACAGCCAGGAGGAGGTGAGTAGAGTCTAGGATGACTGGACTGGTGATGGGCCGTTTCTGGAGAAACGTATTGGGGTCCTCGGATGGCTGAGAGCAACAAAGTAGAGACAAAAAGTAGAAACAAATTAAACCTCAGGGCATATCAAGTTTTATTTCAGTTTAACTGATACTGACTCAGACTCACCTCAAGAACAGGGAACAGTGCCTCACTTGCTGACCCAAGCTTTTTGGGTGGGGCAGTTGGGGAAGGAAACATTGAGGGAAGTGCCTTCATGAAAGCAATCGCTTATCTAGCTGAAAAACAACATGGATACATGATCAAATGCATTGTGCTTGTTTTTGTTAGGCAATTTGACTTTGACATTAAGTGTTGTGTAACTGAAAAGTAAGCACAAAAGCCAAAAAATAGTTCTGTGCAGAGCCCAAGGGAGTATAAGATAATCATGGAAAAACTATACTGTTGGTGAACGACAGTATCTTCATGAATCTTAATGTCACCTTGGGAAATTGTACATAAACTGGTGCTACTTTTTTTTCCAAAATTGGCCTGAATGTTGCGCTAAGACAGAGAGCGTGGGATCACCAAAATCAAACGGTTCTCCTAGGGATATTGAATGTGCACAGCGAAATGAAAGAGTGAAATAAAAACGATTGCAGTTATTGGATCAGCAAACTGAAAGTTTGGCTGGATAGTGGGGGGGCAGCGGTCGGGGTGAATTTATAATATCCCTGACACTTTCACTGCAGGGGATATAAAAAGCACTTGTCAGTTGCACAAGGGAAAGCAAAACAATAAGGGTCACCTGTATGCATGACATAAGGTAGTAGTGTTTAGACCCTCTAGTGACCACTACTACCTTATAACTACCATTTTGCCATAATTCAGTCATCAAAAAGGAGATCCTGTCCTATCAAAATAATGAAAATAAGCTAATACAATCACATCCCATGCGGCCATGAAATGGTCACCCCCAACCTATAAAACATCAGTGTTATCTATACATTATGCTTACATTTACAGTGATTCCCGCAGAAATGAAATATACTTTGGGGGAACGACTCGGGGTGGGGTGGGGGGTCGGTGCGTGAAAAAAGATCTCCTCAGAAATCTCTCAAAAATGTAGGAGCGGGGCTAGTCCTGGTGGGCTACCCAGGCTGAGTGACAAGGTGGCATCCAGGAAACTGAAATTTGCAGGTCACTGCCATCGACACCAGGAACTTCCAGCTGGCAAGTTAGTACTCTGGGAGCCAACACACGGGCACCGACCAAGAGGGCGCCCCACGCCAACATACGTGGAGGTGCTGAGGAAGGATGTGGGGGTGGAAAGCTCCACAGAGCTGGCCGGGGTGTATGGAGGACCGTGAGGATTGGCGAACCCGTTGGCAAACTCGTCTAAGGACGACCTAGTAGTAGTAGTCCTTGATTGGCTCAAGTTCACACCTTTTTAGGGGCGGGGCTAGTGATGTTGTCCCGGGGATGCTTAGGAGTTGATAAAGGAGATAATCGCACTGACGTCATCATTTGATTCCAAAAGTGGGTCTGGACTCGCGCCCATAGAGGCTGTTTACCAGTATAATGGCCCCCCCAAAGTATAATTTATGGGTGGCTCCCCCCAAAGTATAATTTATGGTTTTTTAAGTTTTTTTTACTCACTGAGCACTCATTGCCACCAATGCAAATGCAAATGAGTGCTCACTGAGTAAAAAAAAACAAAAAACACACAAATTATACTTTGGGGGGAGCCATTATACTTTGGGGGCCCCCCAAAGTATAAACATGCTGTGGGAATCACTGATTTATCCAGACCCATTGGTGGCTTCAACGACTTGTTCCACACTCCAAAGAACAGCGCATTTTCGCAAAAGCTTTCCCATCTGGCTTTGATCTGGTCAGTGAAGTTCTTGGTGCCTGACTCTAGAATTCGGCCCATCTCGTCCAAAACCTGAGTGTAAAAATCAATAGAACTTTGATACAGAGAAAACAGCAAACAGATGTTAGATGTCTAAATAATTAACAAGAGATTTACCTTTTAAGAGTGACACAGTTGTGTCATCAAATCTATCCATCTCACCATGAAGAAGCATTCTGTAATTTACAGGAAAAGACGGCCACTGTCATTTTAAAAGTCAACCCCAAAAAAAATCACATTAAAAAAGGCATCAGACACTAAATTGTAAAATTGCTGTGATTCACTATGAACTAGCTAGGTCGACGTTAGCTAGTCTACCGCCACCCTTTGCGTTTTTAACTAACTGCTAGCTTTCAACAGATACAATTACTGAATACCAAAAGAAAACTTATGATATTAACGTCGGCTAATTTTGTGTTCCTTACAGACAGTTTATTTATCTGAGAGTAGTTAACGTTAGCTAGCTTAATTTTTACATACCCCATTAGTGAGGTTAAGGTTAGCTAGCAACACGTGCTTCGTAGTTAGCTAGCTATCTTAGCTAATTCAGCTAACAGTTAACCAATGAATGTACTAATACTTAATAAATTGAAAAGGTGAAGGTGAAGGTGAAGTGAACAACGTGTTACATTCCGCTGGCGCTTGGCTTGTGGTGCGTTCAGGTGATCCTCGTGAAATAGGAAATTCCCCGTTTGCCATCATTTGGACACAAACAGCCATCCACTTGTAAACACTGAGGACTGAGGAGGATCTCTCGATGTAAATAATATAGTACTGGCATTCGTTGTTTACATCTTTTAGTGGATATTGTCATTGATCCAGCTTCTGACAAACACATGGTAAATAAAGTCACTAATTTTCCGACTCTATGAGAGATGCAAACACCACATGGATGCACATTCCAGGTTTTTCTTCTTTCAGGGCCAATGAGAAGCAGAGTAGGGGCGGGTCTTCGCATAATTAAATAATGCAGCAAGCGCCAAATTCGCACACACCTCTGAGAGCAATCGTTATAGTCGTCCACATCTGATGAAGTGTGTGAAAATTCAAGTCAAAGATATTGTGATATTTGTTGTTGTTATCCATATCGCTCAGCCATACTTGTGTGTTAAGCTGTTCATGTGTAATGTGGCATGGATTGTTTGAACAAGTGTGGTGTGATAAATGCACCACAATCTCAGAAATTAAGATATTGTTCTTTGTCCAGTATTGCTTATAGATAATAAGAGACCAGATAACAGGGGAAAGAGACGTTGCTTGAAGGAAGCACTTCGAGCGTTAGAACTATTAACGAAGCACTTTTATACTAATAAAGGACTGGCTTACCTAAAGCCAGTTGAGTAGCACTTGAAATGTTTGGCTCTATGAAACCTGATGTACTTATATGATTCTGTTTTCTTCAAGGTTGTGTCTTCCTGGTCGAATGTACTTATTGTAAGTCGCTTTGGATAAAAGCGTCAGCTAAATGTAATGTAATGTAATGAAGAGGGAGGGGGTACGGAGTAGCTGGCAGCCCCTCCCAACAGTGTCCTCACTGCTCAGGGACCCCCACCTTGTTACCAGTTCCAGGGCAGTAACAGAGTAGAGATTGCACACCTACCTCAAGAGTCAATGTCATGCATATCAGTTATTCTGGTCCATATCCTTTAGGAGAGTGTGTTATGATGATTATCAGTTCATTTTGTGATTATCATTAAAAGAGATGTTAATTCTTGTTTGAATTGTGTCTTTACCAGCTGGGGAAATAACTTATGTTAACCACAGAGCTGATGCTTGAAATTCATTTGTTTTCTTCTTGCCATACTAGTGCTTAAAATAAGGCTTTTTAGCCTTGAATTGGATGTTTTATAGACAGGTCCCTTGTTTCTAGTTAAAAATAACTAAAATAAAGACAAAGTTTCTTATCAAGACAAGGCAAGTAACATTTACTTGAATTAAGTCAAAAAATCTTCCATAGAAAGCACTAGATAAGCTATTTAAACTCAAATCAAGACAAACTAGATTTAGAATCTAAATGTAAGATTATTACACTTGGTTAGATCTGCAGTTTTTGCAGTGAACCTGAAATAAAAAATCGTATTCTAAACCAAGTGAGACGTTGAGTATTTCCATAGGTGATGTGCCTTTATGGGCTGCATCATAAAAGGACACTGCTTCTTTAAAAAAATAGTCAAGTTTTTTGTGGTTGAGACAATACCGGAGCACAAGCCCGTTCTTCATCACATATACAATCACTGTCTTCAGCATGAACTGCAGCTTTAGCCAGGACTTACAATTCTTATAAAGGCTTTGTTTCCAGCAGAGAAGAACTGCCAAGCTCGTCTGTGGCCTAAACTCTTCAACCCAAACAGATTGACACGTGGGGCTGTCGTTCAAGCTAGCGGCACGAGGCCAAGCTTCAAACCTGTTCTACGTTACGCTGAGCTCTAGTCGAGATCCTGACGTTTCCAAAGATACCAAACATGTCAGGCTAAATTACAGTGAAACGTGTGCACAGTGATATGAAGACATGCACTGAAGAATTTTCCATCCTCTACGAGCATGTCTCTTGGGTTTTGATATTTCACTAACCTTTTAGTGAAATGCAGCACACACTGGATATGTTTTTCTAGCTTTGAAGGGAAACTGGAGACTATTTTCGGTCCACAGTCAAAAGCCTGTTAAGCTTGTCCAGACCTTGGCTGGACTTTTTGGCGCTGGCTGGTGACTCCTCGTCTCCCTGAGGTCAGTAGCAGATCGTCCGCTTACGGCCCGGCCGTCCTGTGATTACTCTGCTTTGGTTCCGCCGGTTCTGTCAGCATTTCCTGCAATGATAGAGGGAGGTGAAATGATGAGAGCAGCATGATGTGGCTTACAGAAAGCCCAGGGGCATTTTAGGATGGTGGGGAAAGAAGGAAAGCCTTCAGGAGAATGCCATTTTTTTTGTTTGCAATGCTAGCAATCCTTCCACCACTTTGGTTCTGTTTGAAATATTCAGCTTGTCATTATGGGCATTTTAACATGTGTGTAGACTTGTTTGTATTCATATTTCTTTATCACAAAATGTTTCTCCTATTAAATGAAGGGATACATGGATGGAGGCTGACTGAACGCTGGGGTAAAACATCATGAACCTAAACTCCAGCTGCTCACTAATTATAGGTTTCTGAATCAAAGACAAAATATGTCAGAATTAGAACAACTGTTTTCTGTCTGCCCTTTCCTCCCAGAAGAAAGCAAACCAAAATGTCTGAGTCACTCAGTCGTCTAGGAGTTTTTTTCTCATTTCTTTCTGCACCTGTTCGCTGACACGGTGGGAAAGGATCTGAGGAAGAGCTGGATTCCTTCCTCTGTTTCAAAATCCCTCTGTGGGCCTTTTTGAACTCGTCCCTGCGTCCAAGGCCGGATTATGAAGCCACTTCAAAGAGGCTGGAGACCGAGCGTTACATCATGGCTGCGGTGACCACTGACGGGCTTGCTACATGAGTGGGAACAGAGAGGAACCTCCTGTAATCTCAGCCCTGCAGAGAGAGAGGCTTTCAAGTGAGGCCTGGCGTTTTCCTTCTCTGGTAAGGGGAAAGGAATCCTCGCAGGGTTTCAGCAGGTAAGTGGCACCCCGCTTTTGTAGCCTCAAGGATGATATGTCCTACAAATCCCTGAGGGGGACCAAGTTTGGGTGAAATCCACCTTCCCCTCAAGCCTGTTTTCTTTCAAATTTAAAACTCGTATTTTCTGTTATCATGCTGAATGCATGAATGCCATCAGACTTTTATTTCCAATTCATCCTTAGAATTTAAATGTCATCTCAGCATCTCAGGTCTGCACAATGGCTGAGGGACATCAAGCGGACAGAAAGATGGGATCAATATTAGCTCTTTCTACTATTATGGGATTTAAACTGTACTTTTACTGAAGTCCTCACTTTTAAATGACTCTGTCACAGAGTGAAAAAGGCACAACAGATGTATCTGACAACCTCTAATCTATAATCAATTCATTGCTCACCAGAAGACGAAGAAAAGCTGTGCTCCTTACTGCAGTGAATGGGAGCCAAACAGCCTCGAAATGACTGTCATTCCCTACTTCTCCTCCTGAAAAGCTCTTCTTGATATTGACTGAATCAAAGAGGCGTCTCGGGGCAATTAAGTAAATTATGGCTTCGCAGAATTGTAGACTTGGTTGAGAAACTACGTTGTATGGATTCCTCCCTAATTACAAAGGGGGGCTGGACAGAAATAGCCCTTTCCTTTTCATCCTCAGCCTCGGTGTAGTCTACATGAAGCGGCGGTAAGCCTGGACTTAGCCCCCGTGATCGACCCGAGGACCGGGAGCCAGAGAGTTTATTTACATGCTTTACTCCGTATATATTTATACTCTTCCTTGGGAAAGGGTTTGGATTTAGCGAGATGAGAAAAGAAGATACAAGGTGGTGTATTGTTGATTTAATAAGGATACACGGGCATGGGATTAGAGGAAATTGATAGTCTCAAGGTATCATGCAGCCTTGACTTTAGGAAAAGAGGCCGGATTGAACCAAGGACTTTAGGAAGTCCATCACAAGCAGACTTCATGCTAAAATAAAACTTTGCAGACCATTTACATGCACAGAAACCTATATAACACACTACTACAGGAAAGGGAAACCCCCCCAAAAGCACAATAGGGCCTCTTTAAGGACTTTGGACGTGCCTTTGGTCTTGATCCCACCTCTGGTAGATTGGGCTCTTAAAAAGAAAAGTTCATGATGAGATTATTTGCAAGACTAATCAAGAACTGTCTCAAGACCAAACAAACCCACTGATTAATTTATTCGGCACTAATTCACGTTAATAATGAAATCAATACGTCCATTTGGAGTCACCAGCGCTTCGTTAAATAAAGCCTCTTCTAACAACACCCCCAAAAAATCAGGGAAAGGCTGTATGTAAAACGCCCCCCCCCACACCCCAAAAAAAGCAGGGCGCTAATCAACTGGTGCTGTCTCCATAGCAACGGCTCTCCCAAATCAAATGGTGGAGCAGCTAGTGTTGTAGCTGCTGCTGCTGGGTGGTGTCTGTCAAACACACAGTCATTACCTGCACCCTCGCCCCTTTGTGTCGCAGCAATCACAGCCTATTCACCGTCTGCAGAAAGCACGCCGCCTTTTTCTCCCCCAGAAAGTGATCGAGGCTGGATTTTTTGAAAGAAACGCAGCGTGAAGCTTTCCCCGTGACAAGTTCAGACTATTCTCCCCTTCCTCCACCTCCTCCTCGTCATTGATCGGGACTCCTTTCACCGTACAGAGCGCCTAGAATCAGGCCCAGGCCGGTCAAGTGAATAACAACCTCTGTCTCGCAATCAAGGGAGTCTGCTCCGTAATGACGCAAGAGACATCTTCATGACCAATATCTTCACTTATAGAGGAAGATTTAAATGGGGGCATTTGGGTTAGAAGGGGCTTCATCACTCCTTACTGTGCTGGCTGAAGGGACATAGAAGTAATTCATCCACTTCCTGATCCTTCATCTTCCACCAAAAGTACGAGGCAGTGCAAAAGTTCCAGTAACGCGTGTACAAGCTCAATTTTTCATCTGAGATTTGTCTTGTAATTTTTGCCTTGTTTCTGCTGTTTTCGGTATAATGAACAAGCCAGGCTTCTCTCCGACCCCATTCCTCATGCAAATCAAAGTTGGATCAATCTGGGATTGTCTGATGAACTAATTATGTGGTAATTGTTCTGGTCTAGACCACTGATCCATTGTATGAGAGCGGCCCTTTGTGTCTTTCCAGCTGATTGAGAACGATAATTGTGTTTTTTGATTGGCAGAGGGGCCATTTTGATCTCTCTTTTCTTCTTTGCCCCTGTACATTCACACCCTCCTCCCTCTCTGTCTAACCCACCCTCTATTCATCCGCCACTGAATGCTAAAGACATATCCATCCTGCTCGGTAAACGGTAAGCTGGTATGGAAACCTTTAAACAGGTTACAGAGGGTCAAGTGGTGAGGGGGGACTGCTATGCATTTGCAATTAAATCATTTGCATAACGTAATTGATCGGTCTATGGATTGTCATTCATTCTCCCATCTCTGCAGATGCATGATGGGAAGAGTTGGGATTAAACAAAACCTATAGTATAGTCAGCGTTGGAAAGTAACTCAATAGAAATACTGTATACTGCAGGATTGTTACTTTAAAGAGAGTATTTTAACACTGCAATAGTGCTTAACATGTGAGTACTTCTTCCATGCTTTACTTTAGTACACCAACTGAAGGGCCAGCTGACATGCATCCAGAGACACAGCTCAGTGTTTGTTATTCATCTTTGTCTATGCTCTCCTCAGTCATAATTACCCAGAATCCCCACAATTTGACCAGGGTCGCAACAGAACCCGAGCAGATCCCCTTTGAAGCAAGGCGAGCCAAAGCAAATGTCTGACCCTGTTGGAAAGGTAATGATAGCCCATAATGAGGTGGTGTTATTACAGTAAAGCCTACCCCTACCTTTTCACTCTTTGACCTTTGACCTCTGAGGCCACAACCCATCGGACGACCCCTCCCACTTGTAATAAAATCCAGGGTCCCTCAGCGGCAGCCATGATAAGTGCCATTCGAATTCTATGATAGGAAAGGAGGTTTCAAACTTCCTTTATAACCTCCTTTAGCGTAGGAACCACTGGACCTCCCTTGACGAAAGAAGAGGAGAAAATGCTGCCCCACAATGCCTTGCGGCCGCAGCATTTGCCGTCACACAACAGTCGGCCGTTCATGGAAACAACCGATTATGACCGAGAAATTATATCATGAACGTTACGGTGCTTATTAAGCATTTTAAAACGTATGTGGAAACTTTCATGACGTCCGCTGGTGCATCATAAACACGTCGGATAGTAAAAGTGCAGTCGGATTCTCAAAGCACCGCAGTCTCTTCTCCTAAGTCCTTTTGAATTCTCCTATCCACTATTCCTTAACCCCGTGACGTTTCACACAGAGGTCAAGGGATAGACGATGGGGATAGACGATAGGAGCTGATTTTTTGACTATTCGAACCGCAACCCAGGTTTCTTCTTGCTGTAGTGTTACCTAGCATAGCCTATAGGGCTTGTTATGCATCACAACAGAGCCGGCCAGCTGACCAATCAGAGCAGACTGGGCTCTGGTTTCAGACAGAGGGTGAAAAGAGGTGTTGCAGCACATGAGAAAAATAAAGCTCTTTTTGAACATTAAAGCATGTAAACATGTCACAGTAGAACCTGGAAATGAGACAGTAGGGTTTAAAGTCTTTGTTGTGGGAAAACAAGCAGGTTTGAAGAGCCAGATTTGCCACTGAACAGTTTCATTAAAACAACTTGTTATCAGTAGTTGGAATTGAGTCGTACCCTAAACCATATATATATATAACATCCGCAGATTAAAGATCTACACAGCTATACCTCACCTGGTAACTATTTGATTGAACTGTCCCTTTAAAAGCAGAAACACATAAACTACAGTATGTAATTGAGGTTATACAGAACTGCTGTAAATAGAAATGTTCTCTTGGTGAAATTACCGGGTTGAATAAGCACAGAAGAAAAGTTCACGGATGAGCCCCTGGATGTCCGTCAGATTGAAAAGCGGGACATTTACGAGAGTAAAAGGTGCAATTTTAGAGCCATTAAACTATCCAGACATGCACGCTGCCCCCTCTCCTCTGCTCTCTCTTACATTTCCCCTGTAAGCACTTAAGTCGCACTCACCCCCCTCCCCACGTCACCTTTCCCAACCATTGCCAATGCCTTGTTTGCTTTTGTTGCAAATGTATCCCCATAATTGTCCAAATCAATGTTTAGCAGTCCCTCTCGCTGTGATTAGGCGGGAACATTAGGTTGTGCAGCAGTTTCCATGGTTTCAAGGCAGCGGATTGCTAAAAAAAAATCTCCTGTGAAGCCAGACACCGGCACGGTATAATGAACTTATATTAAAGCAACTTTTGTCTCAATGTAGATTTTAATTACCCGGCGATTGTCTCTGACAGGAGGAACGAGGTGGAGAAAAGAGACAGAGAACAAGCGAGGTGCTGAAAGAATGGGAAAATAGGGTTTATGTGCCACAGCGCTAATTTGATCCATTAGGGGATGTGTGTGTGTAAGAGTGTGTGATGTGCTACCTGCCTAGTGAATATAAAGTCTCATTCTCACCCGTCAAGGAGCAGAGTGCAAAGAATCGTGTCTTGTTAAACTCCCGGTTTCAGCTGAGAAAAATCTAATTAGCCTAATTAGGCGTGTGCAACAGTCAGAGATGGAAAGGCTTCTCCGATGTGAAAAGAAAAGCGAGACATTCTTTTCTTCCTTGACGAGAGTGTGAAAATATGCGTTGATGAAATCGACAAATCCACATCCTAACCCTTGAGCCTGATTCCTTCCTTTTGAACCTGCCTTTCTAAGTGTTTAATGCTGCTCCTGCTGATTTAATAAATCTGGTTATGTGCCAAAGGAGCTGCTCCCAAAGTAGATGATTAACAAAGAGCTTTACTCATCCGCTTGTGTAACAAGATACATTCAGGCTGCTCCTGGCACTTCAACAACAGCCGAGCGCTCGATCAAAGAGCAGAATACGTGTCTTCAAATAAATGCATGACGTTTAACAAGCTAGGGTTTTGTATCCAAAAATATCACACACACACAGTGGAAATCCTTCTATATGTGGAAAGGTTTTATAAGAAATCCAGTGGGATGTTTTCAGCTCATGCATATAGTCTTATTCTAAAGGCCCGCAGCAGAATGGAGGCCATGCAAATCAAATAGAATATATGCAATACAGAGTCAGCACAAAGGCCATCTTCTGTGTTGTTTTTGGTTGTGTGCAGTGTGCAGCAGGGCGCTCCAGACAGGTTAAACACTCCACTGAACTCAGCTTGAACTGCTGCTGAGCCCTGGTTTTGTCCACGCTGGGGTTAACACTGAAAGCTGGGTATTTCCTGGGTCACTTGTCCAATATGTAAGAGATCACTTCCAGCAGACTCTAGACATGTTCCCCTGAGTGAGAGTAGACGTGCTCATACTGTATCTCTAACTGCCGTCTTTCAATACTGTATATTCATGTTGGATTATACGATTAAAGAACAGGGAATAGCCCAACTTCCTCTCATATTTACAATTCTGCACACTTCTCCTTTTACTGTAAATTGAAAGGAAGTGGACTGCCGACTGTGTTTGGCAAATATCCCCTTTAGTTGTAGAAATGCTATAAGCTCTAAGGTACAATGCGCACCTCCATAGATCATGGCTGCTTTGAATAACTTCAAAGAACTTTCGGGACCCCCTTGAAAACGAGATGGTTCATCTCAAGGGGTTTATCCCAATGAATAACATTTCTATATAATAACTGTGTTTATTCCAGACAACAATTTGGGCAACTTTGGCAGCACTTGTGATTCACAGGCGAGCGTCTTTCGCTTTTCAATTGGAGCTTTTCAGCAGTTTCCCACAAAAGAAATGCAATTTTGCAGCATGAATATTACACCTGAAAGAAATCCTCTAGCTGAAATATTTTGTGATTGCAAACACTATCTCCTGCCACTTGCACACACACTAGCAGAGTGAGAGCTGCTTTTTGTGAGGAATCCTCGCTACTGATTCCAGGCCTGTAATTGTAAGCAGCGCAGCAGGAAGTGAAGCAAGTCCCTGCTATTGACCAGCCTCAGTATCACACTGAGCTAAAACACAGGGGTGGTGGCACTGCCGCTGGGAACATGTCAATTTTGCTCTTTAGAAAAGGGGCACTGCTTGAAGACTGAAAGCAAATCAACACAGCTATCGACCCAGACAACCCAACCCTGTAAATTGCACTCAGAGTGCTGAACAAAACAACAAAAAGCATCACTGGGATTTTATTGACGGCCAACACTTTAGCGCGCCTTACTTCTAGACGAGGGTAAGATTGAAAATAATCAAAAGAAAGGCTTGAAAGAGCAATCAAACGCCTACAATAATGCAACGTTATAACAGCGTTTTATACACTATGTATGTGTGTATGTGTCAAGATCTGTCTGTGTTGTGTTTTGTCTTGTTTAGATCTGTCTGTGGTTCCCTGTCGTTAGTTTCCCTGGTGTGTCTAATTTACCCGATTGTGTTCACCTGGTGTCCCTGTGTTTTCTCCTCCCTCCTCACCTGTGTCTTGTTTCTGTGATTAGTCTTGTGTGTATTTAAGTTCTGGTTTGTCTGTCTGTCTTTGTCGGTTCGTCTTGTGTTATGACGTGGTCTTCGGTGAGTGTTCTGTTCTGTCTTAGTGAATAGTTTAGCCTTGAAATAAAGGAGTTATTTTTGACACTTTAATCTGCATTTGGGTCCTGCTTCCTGCACACACCGTAACAATATGTATGTGTGCATATATGTGTGTATGTGTATATGTCAATCAACAGGTAAAGCCGATTAATAATAATGCATACAAATGATAATTATTGCAGATTATAGATTATAAATAAATCATTTAGGGACAAGGGGGTGAGATTAAATAAATTATACTTCTTCTCACTCCTTTTCGAACACTAGATGTGGCACTGTTTATGTTGCTAATGCTGTTGTAAATGTAATTTTGTTTTGATTTCTCTTACTTGACTATGCACTGCAACATTTGTTTTGTAATTATTTATTTTACTTGTTCGAAATAAATGTATCAATCTCGAAGTGTGACTCTTGGAAAGTCCTGCCCCATGTTGCTCAACACCACTACAGGTGAAGGCGTGGTATACTGCTCTGTAGATAGAGGAAGTGACATCGTGTTGTGAAAACACTGCAGCGAGGCCTTGTTGTCAAACTCGTCTGCTCTCAGGACAGACAAGCTCCGTTTTTCCTGGGAACAGAATCAAATCAAATTCTCAACGTGCAGCATTATGACACTGACATCTTTCACGTGTTGCAACGTGAAGGCCTCCGTCATGAAGAGCGCAACGCACTGTATTGTTTTTCCCAGGCATGAATGGGAGCTGTGCAGATAGGCAGGAGCCACCTTGAGCAAACAGACACGTTTCTCTGTGAGGTCCTTGGGGAAAAGTACAGTATGTTGGTTTGGCACAAAATATGAACCTGAAAACGGGCATCATAGGGCCTCTTTAAATGCATGACATTTTATATAACTGCGATACATTCTGGTTATGGACCTGTGTTGTCCTACCTGTCTGTAACTGCAAAATGCCGAGTGGAGAGTGTTTGTTCTTCCAAGGACTGCGAAAGTAGGCTACATACACAATCAGGCCTCTCCAACACTATCCAAAATATTGTTTCCAGCCTCTACCCCCGCTATTCCAGAGAATACATGTAGGTGCAGTTTACTGCTGCCATTTGACATGATTTCAGGGTTAGAGAAGTCCTCCAAACTTTCAACATTTCAATCAGCAATCTCTCACCGGCACTCATAGAGGCTGAAGTGCAAAGTCGCAAAGTGCAGCTTCAAGGAAGGGACTTAAATATGTAATTTTATAACCTGCGGGTGAGCATGGAAAGTTTGAGGGACCAACTTTTTACCGACAACAATTGAAGCTGTCGGAGAGCGTTTTATTAACCAACAGTTTGGACTATGGATATTTTGTAAAGGACAGGAAACAGAGAGCTTAAAACAATAGTTAGGGATTTATTAATGTTGTATGGAAACACACATGTTCCACTGAGTGCAGCCAAGTGCTGAGCAACAACAGCGACTGATGAGTCAGCCGCTGTCATTATCACGCTGCGGGGGAAACAACAAGCATCTCAATGGCTCTGCAAATACACTGTTAAACCAGGTATGACATTATGTTCTCTCTTAAAAACCAGAGCCCTGCATGGGATTATGGACAAAGTCGCTGTAGGATTGGCTAATTATGGATCATTTGTGCTCTCTGTTTGCTTTCTATTCTCACTCCTCTCACACACTCACCTTGTTTGTGAGAGGAGTGAGATGAAACAGGGCGCTAAAGAGGCTGTCATTGTCACGTTCCGTACATTTCAGGTGAATTACAGTCGCAGTGGAAATAATTGCCTGTCCCAATTATGAATCCATCTGCCGCGGTGGCTTTCTAGTTTGATGGGGAGGACATTCCCGAGAGCAAAAACGAAACAATGTGCGGGAATAAGGCAAGGGAGCGTGTCAGTGGCCATTAATATCCATACAGGCAATTTCACAGAACACCTAATGACATAAAATGACAGACAAATGGTAAGGTAATTAGTGTGTGTGATGTGTTAGCAGAGGTGTCTGTGAGCACAGGGGCATTCGAGTAGAAAAAGATTTGGGATCATATAAACCTCTGCAAGCACATGTGGACAGATGAACTCAATTTTTTTTTAAATAATATGATTTTACAGGATTATGTAGATAAAAAATATGGCATCAAGGAAAGTATTATAAATTAATCATGTAAAATACCCTTTTTTAAATTAGTTGAAAGTCAGTGATTTTAATATGGCATTCCACAATACTTGTAATTCCTTAACACATTATTTGTTGTACTAATTTCATGTATTATTACATTTGTTCAAATGCAAAAATGTCCTTATTATATGTCAATAAAATGAATAAAATACAACCACTAAAGAAATTCATAAACTGAGGGAACAAGGGCAAAAGCAGGTATAGTAGAAAACATGTAATTTAGTTTAATTAAAAATGTGTTTTTGATTTGTCATACATTATTTTGTATTAAAACTACATTACATATATAGTGTTGTTTTAATGAATGATAAAACTAAACTATAATACAATAACGGTACAAGTTCAGTTGCTTTAATAACAAGGGTGGTGGAGTGTCACTGGGGAATGTAGTTTCCTGGATTTCCAGTGGCTGTGATTTCTTCCGGGTTCCTCGCTCAGTTTGTTTTGCTCGCAGCGCACGGCTCAACATGACAGAAAGTCACACTCGAGTTTTATCCCAAATACAAGGAGTCAAATAAGATGTAAACTCGGATTTTAAACACACGTTTTGCTCGGATAAAGGCGGACTCGAGACACCGGGATATCATCCTGAACCGAGACACCTGTTGCTCCAGTTTCTACTGACAGGTGTCACTTTCCTCGAGCAAGGAGCAGGTTGAAAGACTACCGAAACTTGGATTAATTTCTTAATATATTTTCTAAATCACATTTGCAGGCATTATGAAGGTGACGGTAACTTTTGGGGACACCTCGGTGGTGGTTCCCTGTAAAGCTGGGTGGAACGTGCGGGATTTAACCGAGCAAGCAACGAGGAGATACTGCAGAGTTGTGGAGCAGGTAAACACACCTTTACACTCACCTAACATGTCCTCTTGGCTTTCTCTTCACTCCATGTTGCTGTATTGCGACATAAAATACTCTTTCTTAGCTAACGTTAGCTCCCATAACCCTGCTCAGGTGTGTGTCATGTGATCAGTGTGGTTATTTTAATAATATTGGAGCTAGCTACTAGCTTAAATTAGCACCCAATATTCTTTGCTTTAAGATTGAGATAATTACTTACTTTGTTCCTAAACTTAAACTTGTCATCATAAGTTATAAACTTATCATTTAATGAGTTTATATAAGTATCATTTTGCATGTTTTAAACAACCACACATTAGAAAACTATAACAGAAGATGCCTCAATTGACCAGAATGCAATGCAGCTGCTGTCAATTGTCACATCTGGTAGAAAACAAAGCATGAATGCAACCAAGCGTACTGTAACCTATGACTGTAACACACATGGATGCACTGGGTTCATACCTGTTCTGATGGGAGTTGAAAGGAGTTCTGGGAAATGTAGGATAATGCACTGATCACCTAATGTTAATAACTGCTGGTGCAATAAGTGTTTTGAATGTCCCACACATACACAAAGATGTGCACCTCCAGCTCCCTGATGCTGCAATCACTACAACATTAATCATCCTGCCGAACTGACCTTTTATTAATCAGCCGCCTTGTATGTGCATGCTGTCCCAGTGTGATAGGGTGCTGATGTGTCTCTGTGAGGATGTGCTGTCCACCTGTACAATAGCTCGCTGTTTAAGCCCCAGTATCTCGGCGGGCAGGTGGAAGTTTACTGTTTGATGTCCTCAATGTGGGCCCAGTTGAGGATGTGCGCTGCGGACAGCAGGCTTTGTCCTGTGAGTGATTGGGAATTAGGATTGGTGACAGGTCCGGGTCTTATCGGTTGGCTGGTCCCCATCTCGTCCTCTCCCTCTCCGCCAAGGAATGGAAGGCCCGATTGGGTGGCTGTATGGCTGGATGGATTGCCTCCTCACACTCCTAGAAAACCACACACACATGGAGGAGCTCATGGTGCTCGCTGTCCCCTGAGCTGTCACGTCTCTGCTTCACTGACAGCCATGCCCACTCGTTGATCCTCAGCCAGACACGCTGCGATGCACAAGCCCAAGTAGGCCAAATGTGGGAGCCTGATTAAAATGCACCGGGGCCCTTGATTGCTTTTCACGGAGCATGTTAATTAGGAGCCCCTGACTCAGCAGTTTGGTGCCTTCTCTTAATAGAGGATCATGAGGACCGTCCAGCTGTGGAGCTGCCAGAAAGAACCAAATAGATTCGACCTGCCAGCAGAATCCACTTAGCGCCCACATTAGCCACATATTTCTCCACTCTCTGCTCACCGCTGACAGCAGGGACAGTGTCAAAAACCTGGGTGTAATCACCGGGAATGTGTGTTTGTGAGTGTTGGTTTATAACCGTGCGCATAGGGAACAGGATTGTACATTTCAGCACTGGAATGAACACCTTCGTAATTAGCAGTTTTTTTAATTTGATCTCAGCTATGTGACTAGTACATGTTCACATGCTATTGTTAAAAAATCAAAGCCTCTGCATACAGCAAATTAGGCTATGGCTCGTTATACAGATGGATTTGTAAAATATAATAATAATAATCCTTATATTTATTAAAAAAGATGGACTTTTATTAATCCCTCGTGGGGAAATAGTTTCTCTGCATTTGACCCATCCTAGTGTTAGGAGCAGTGGGCTGCCATTTTGAACGGCGCCCGGGAGCCGTGTGGTGCCTTGCTCAGGGACACCTCGTAGCACTTGGTCTTGCCGGGACTTGAACTGGTGACCTTCCAGTTACCAAGCCAAGCCCCTATCGACTTCGCCCCCCCCCCATTATAGCGCTTTATCAATGACTCTCAATGCGCTTTACAAATACATGTAATGGTCATCTACTGTGGACAATACCCACAGGAGCAAATTCGGGTGAAGTGTCTTGCCCAAGGACACAACGGCCTGACGCAGTGGGGCGGGAGCGAGTTTCGAACTGGAGTTCCCCAACGCCCCCTTGATCTGATGATCAAACGCACAGACCACTGCGCCACCCGTCCCCAAATATGAGCGTACATGATATAATGATGGTAATGAAAGATGTCAAAAATAGTTTAATTATTTGTTCACTGCTGATTGTGGAAGTTGTGTAAAGATTTGCAACAGAGGTGCTAAGTTATAGTTTGATTTTAAACTATGACCTGTAATCCATATACATCAATATAGTTCATCTGTTTCCCATTACATGTTTAGTTTATAAATTGCCGGAATATAACGAACTTCTGTCAGACGTAATACGAAACCCAAAATATATGAAAATGTTCCCATTTGTGACACTGAACCCAGCAAATGTTAATTTTTTAATTTTTTAATTTAGCCTTTATTTATACAGGTGTAGATCTCATTGAGACACAAGGTCTCATTTTCAAGAGAGACCTGTCAGTGGTAACACTACCACACACAGTTACAGACAGACAGGACACTAAACACAGAGGCAACACTAAAATACAACATCGTAAAAAAGTAGTCATTAAAATCCATATACAGTAGTCAGATATAGCAGGTGCAAACACCCACAGATGATTTCTCCAGCTTTTTAAAAATGAGTTTAAAATCCGTGATGGGTATCAAAGTGGTCAGCTTAAGTTCCTGCTGAAGTGTGCTCCAGGTCGAGGGGGCAGAGTATGATATGGCTTTTTCCCCAAGCACCGTGCGTACTGAGGGGACGGACAGAGTGATGTAATGTTGAGATCTTAGTCTATAGCTGTACTGTTTGTGTGATATGTAAGTGGATATGTAGAGGGGCAGCAGTCCAAGCATAGCGGTATAGATGAGTTTGTACCAGTGCAGTGATCTGCGCATTGATAATGATGTCCAGTTGACTAAAGCCTTTCTGCTTGATAAATGATACACTTTCAAGTTGTTGTGGATGTATTCTGACACATCATTTCAGCCATCTTCCTCTAAACTGCGATAACGTTAATGGTGAACAGTTGCAGGAGAGGAGAAGCGGAACAACAGCCTGGGGGACCAGCATGCACTGTGAGAGTTGTGCATTCTCAGCTGGACGTATCTGTATCTGTCTCATGGTCACTCTGTGCAGATTAAGCCCCTATATACCAACTCGGTGTTGGCACCTGACAGCGCATTATACTATATGACAGCACTTTCTGTGTTTGTGGGAGTGCGAGGAGAGGAGTGGTCCGCTGTGTATGCAACTCAGAACTCATCTAGTAAAAAGCAATTGTAACTGTTCGAACTTGCTGTTTCTCGTCCTGATGTGGTTTCATTCTGTTTTAGACCTGGCTGTTAAATGATATCGTGTCAACTATAGAAGGACAATTCAGTAATCTTAATGGCTACAGAGCAGCATCCTCAGACCAGAAGGCGTTCACTGTTTAGCTAAAGGGCAGCTGGACAGATTCCTGCTGGTCTGTGACTTTAAACGTGGCAGACATCATGGCAGTGAAAAGCAGATGTTATTGTGAGCAGTTCTCCTTTACAGAGGACAAACATTCGTAGTTAATGCTATCCATGCGGACAGCTCGTTAACAAAACAGTAGAACATCCAGCATTTGAAAGAAGTATGTTAACATAGTAAGGCTGACTATTTTCCAGATTAATCGATTACTTTATTGTCAATAAACAGTCAGAAATGTGTGAAGACATTGGGACCAGTGTTTCTAAAAGCCTTAGATTACATCCCTGAGTGTCTTGATTGGTCTATTCATCAACTATATTCATGTGTACATGATAAAGGAGTGAAGAAACCAGAACATATTCACATTTAAGAAGCTGGCATCAGATATTTTGAAAATGTTCTTCTTAAGAAATGACTCAAGCAGCTGCAATTGCATTTAATAAGATATCATACTGTACATCCGATTGGTCCTTAAATCATTTGTTATATACAATTGATGTTAAGTTATTGTTGGCACTTGATAGTAGAACGTGAGTAAGGTCGATGTCTTCCTTTCCTTTCACTCAGACCAACTATTAAACGTTTATTAAAGACATTACATCTCGGTCGCGGCTGAATCCCCTCCGTCCTCCTGCAGCTGTTTAATTACACATTCTTCTAAGGATCAAAGTGTGAAACACCAGCGCCACAGCCCCTCTGCATTTAGCTCCACTCATCGCTCCACTGTTCTCGAGTGGTGTCATGTTTGTTCACCAGAGAGGGGGGAGAAGAAGAACAGATATGTCTTTGAATGGTGGGGGGGCTTAATGGTGTAATTTACTCCTCTGACTGTCACGGTAATTCTCCTCAGAGTTGACGGACGGACTCCTTTTGTTTTTTATGTCATGGGAAGACACATTGAGGGACGTTATATATAGATGACTTTCCTTCATACATTCATCCCTTTTCATCAGCAGGTAGAAAGAGAGTGTATGCCAGAGGTGATGCTAATTAACACGTCAGCATTGTTTTTGTTTTAATCCGAAATATACGAAAATACCTCTTATTTCATTAAGGTGTGTGTGTGTGTGTCAGTGCTGCCACAAAAGAGCCAATTACCACGCTTTCACACACTCTCACACATACTGTTGCAGTGAGAAAGAGGAATGCAGGCAGTCGTTCAGGTCGGACCAGTTTTTCTGGCGAGGTGTAAATACTTTGTAGCTACATGTGTGCTCCACCGGTTTCAACGTCTCCATCCGCCCCTTAAGTCATCAGTATAAGAAATAAAGCAACAAAAGTTCACAGTTTTGAATTGAGTTCTTTCAGTGATGTCACAATCCTGAATCTAATAAGGTTTGTCTGTTCAAGTCAGATCAGTTTAAAGCTTATTGTTTTATTTTCAAAGGTTGTGTAGCTACCTATCTGAATCTGCATTTCAAGACGCTACAGGTGACTCCTTGCTTGGAAAATGTAAAATAAGTAAAGCTTATAAAACAGCCTCTTTAGGGAGAATCAAAGCGATAAAAAAAGCCATTTAGACTATTATTTTCTGCCTTCCTTACCTGAGACTCCCTGTGACATATCTACCTATCAAATGTTCCCTCTGAGATCTACAGTATAACTGTGTATTAACACCTCGTGTGAAGATGGTATTACCCAGATAATGTTTTCAGAAATTGGTGCTAATTTACTGTAGCTAACTTTTATCTGAGTGTTAAACCTTCAAGAAGAAAGCCATCATGGAGCTGTGTCTCTTTATAATCCTTCTTCGTCAGGCCCTTACTAATTTCCCCTTGACAGATTTTCCAGGGAGAGGATGCCCTTGGCTCCAGATCTTTGTAGTAATCTTCAAATCAACCTGCTGTAGCATTGTGTGAAATCTGCTGTTTGCGGCTCTATCTCTCCCAGCTCTGGCATCCTGACCTCTTCTGAAGAAAGGGAGGCTCTGGCTTTATTCCTGTGATTGAAATCCCAGACTCTCCAAACCATTTGTTTTTAGAGAATGGCCCATTGTGAAAGGCAAACACCCTTTTAATTTCGTGTGCCCCAAAATTCACATTGGGAAGCAGCGAAGCAAGATGGAGCCCATTGACGGCGTCTCTTCTCAGTGACACAGCAGGCGCTTCTCGCTGGGTCTCGGCCAAACTCATTCCACTCCTCCGAGGCTTACACCCTCTATAGCTGTTAATCTAGCTGCTAATGCAGTCTTGTGTTGCCGCGGACAGATTGCTTATTGGTATGGGCAGATCCTAATGGGCCATTCTCTCCTGCACACATTGTCAAAGATTAATTTTCTTAATCTAGAAATAGCTTTAATAGAAATTGTGCGGCCGATCCAGCAGGTTGGAATATCATTCAGTTTCTCTTCATATTTGATCACGCTAAAGTGTAATATCTCTTGGAGATCTGCATAGCAACTGAAACAATAGACTCCAGCAAAAAAGGGGAAGATGGTATTGTTCATGGACTTCTCTGTCGGTTTTGCACACAGATTTCAGCTCAGTCAAAAGTCCTTGTTCGCTCTGACAATGTGTGGAGAGTGAGGCCGGGGTACTTCCTGTTCTGCGGGGTGTGTTCACTGACCTCTGTCTGCACGGTGACAGTGAAACTGGCCAGGAATGTGCCCACCACCGCTCCCCACGGAGCAGCAGAACTGGACACGGTCCTCTCCTCCCTCTCACACTCCTGTAAACGCCATGTTGTGCATGTGCGGTGTAATGTAGGTCATCTGTTGCTCTACCTGCCAAACAAACAGGGGAACCTGGACCTATGTGTGGTTATTATGTTGACTGACTGTCAAGTTATTTTTTACCGTGTGCTATAGTGAAAACAAACTAACATCATAGGTGTGAAAAAAATCTGCAGAAGTGAATCACATGGATCAGACATTTCTTAGTATTGTTTATGTGAAGTAAATGTACTTAGTTACTGTGACCTACTGTACTGTATAGCAATAATAAATACCTTTTTAGAGTAGATTACATGTATGTAGCATGTTGCCAAGGCATTGCACATGAGTTCAAATATAATGAAATACAAATAAAGTAAATATATTCATATCAATACTAGAAGGATATATGTCTATAGTGTATCTCTAGAAAATATAATATAAAATATGTTAATGTCCTTTTGTTATTTGTGGTCTGGATGAATGTTTTTTTGCCACATTTGGACTCCAACTCAGATATCATTGATTCTTGTAGTTCATTTCATAATTAAATCCGTTATGTTGGCAATTCAACATTTTTTGTCGAGCCTGACGGCGTTTCTAATCCTTGCTACGTTTGTGTGCAGCATGGGGAGAGTGAAGTGAGGACGCACCACCTGGAGTACATGGAGGGAGGAATCCTGGACATGGACGACCTGCTGAATGATCTGGTGGAGGACAGAGACAAGGTGAGGAGGACTCCGTGTGCTAGCAGGAAGCACTATACTTGTATTATGAATATTGTGGAGCAGGAGAGATATCCCCGCCTAGAAATGTTTTTTACAGACTCACCAAAACATATTTGTTTAGTACAGATCCTCTTAAAAATCAAACCATAATATTGTACTATATTTTGTAATCATAATGACACTTGTGATTAGAACATTTCAAATCCCTTCCAATCTTGTGAGTCTTATTGCAATCTCAGTCAAAATGATCTCTTTTTCTAAATTGGGTTGCCACAATTTGTCAAAACACTGCAAAGTTAACTTTTGTATCCGGTTCATCTACGCTCTCTCAGACGTGTTGACATCTGACAGACAGCAGCGTCTCATGGTTGGACAGCTTAGCATAACAACGTGCGCTGCGATGCGGATGGCAAGCTGTTTCTTGATTGTTCTTACCTGCTATGAGGCACGCTAAATTACAGCACAGAATCTGTCATTCTTAGCCTGAGTCTGCTAGCGGATTTATATTGACTCCGCTTGTAAAGTCTCCAGCCTGGCAGCATGACAGGATGTCCAATAAACACGTTAGTAGCAAATCCAAACCTTGTTAGCTTGTCACTGGCTGTTTGGACTCAGCTAAACACCAAATGGAACAAAGTAGCTTTTGGTAACTGAAAAAAAAAGGATTGGGTTTGATTGCAGCTTGCTTTGCTCCGCCTGGTAAGAAAATTAACTTATTTTTTCTCCACTGCTTCCCTCTGGTTCTTCAGAAAGCAAGAGTGTGAGTGGTGACGGCGCTGTGTGATTTAGCTGTCATGTTCATTTTTACCGAGATACTTGAAAGAGCACCATTTCAGATTTAAAACAAATCAAGAGAAGGGGAAGTTCTGCGAAAAAGCACTGATGTCTCTTTACAAAACTAGGTTGGGAGTTGAAGTTCATTATACACACACACACACACACCATTTCTATAAAGAGCCAATTTCATTCCTCTTGCTAATTTCCCATAATGCATTCATAAGATGTGCTAATAAACTGCCAGAAATCCATATTCATAAGCCCAGGGCGAATGATGAATTATCAACACTTAGTCAGCAAGAAGGCCAAATGAAATGGAAATGGAATATTCAGCCGCCTCTAGCACGCAATAACAATTGGTGTTTTAAGCCGCATGAACAATAGTGTTGTGTGTGTGTGGGTGTGTTTATGAGTGTGCATGTAAGACTCTTTCTGAAAAAGGGGACATGACTAAATAATAGATGTGTAAAATCTTCAACGGTGGAGAAAAAAATAGTTTTTTGCAATCACACAGAACAGAAGCTCTATTTTCTGGGATGCTGGAAATATAATCATGAGATCTTCGTCCTATTTGTGCATTGGAGGAGATTTTAATGACTAATTTCTCCCCGACCCAGGCCTGCTTTCTCTCAGCAGTGATGATGAAGTGTCACAGATCAAATCCCGCTCCGGCATTGGATCAAATTCCCTTCCTAACAAGTAACCCCGACGTCGGCTCTGTTTCTCTTGCAGCGGTGTTTTTGTTCTTTAACCAAGCAGTCTCATTTACCTTTTTGTTTCTTTACTCGCTCCGCTTCTTCACCCAATTCTCCAAACGCCCTCCCCGCCCGCTTTCATCTCACTCCTCATTTTATCCTTTTGTTTTTCCTACGCTGATGAAAAGATAGCAGACGGAATAGGACGAGCGCACGTGATCCCTGCCGATTTATCTCCAGTGTCGGGCTCTCGTAGATTAATGAGCTGTGCCTGGCATTCTTGATTAGTCCAACTTCCCTTTGTTTGTCTACGTTTTTATTCCCCCCGCAGCACCGATTCTATCTGCAGTGTGTTTTTTTCCTTTTTTGTTCTGTTATTGTGGCCGACGCTGTTCCACCATCAATCATACAGGAGTGGTCCCATTGTGAGGGCCCTCCACCGCACAGCATGGGCCCTGTGTTAGCCGCGGATGCTAATGAGAGATAATGGTGAGCTATTTGTACGCCTAGTGGTTAGCTTAGCCGCGAGTTATCTGGGCCAGCCCACGACCGTTATTACACACACACACACACACACACACACACACACACACACACACACACACACACACACACACACACACACACACACACACACACACACACACACACACACACACACACACACACACACACACACACACACACACACACACACACACACACACACACACACGCACCTCTGTCCTCCACAGGCAGACGTGTAGCGTAACATGTTAGCTTCAACGGAAGGGGCGCCACTGGTGGTTGATGAGGGCAGAGATGGAGGGGCGGGTTGTGATTTGATTACAGTTCTGCCCCCTGCATCTGCACACACACACACACACACCAACGTGCACACACACTGCGTTCATTAGCACCCCGTCTCGAGACACCGGCCACCAGCCTCCTCATAAATATTAATATAAATCTGATGAATGTGAAGAAGGCCATGGGGTGTTGGCTAAGGTGTGCACACAACACACACAACACACACAGTATAAAGAGAGCAGGGCACGCTTCAGTCAATTATACTCTCCTCTACTTTGACCCTTTACTCAGGGTGTGTTATAGATACATGTTAGTGTGTGTGTGGCCTGCAGCTCTCAGAAGGCAGTTGGAGTCATTGACCTGTCAGAAACCCCACTACTTTAATGGTGAGGAGAAGTGGGCAGACACAACAGCTAATAGATCTCATCCCCTTTTTGTCACGCTGTTTCGGTCAAATCGCTGTAGTCTAGAGACGAGTTAACCTGCTGTGTCCTCCGTCAGTACATCTCTGTGTTTTTCCACACACCGCCATCATGGACTAGAATGTAGGGACAGGGAATAAAGGATCCGCGATGAATGAAAACACTCACATTAAGATGATCGTAGGGAACTTCAATTTTTGGGATATCTGTGAAAAACAGAATTCTGAGAAACAAACTGGCTCTTATCCTCTTCTGTATGTATCTTTGATGCAATTTAAATATTAGTTTATTGACAAAACATTGGGTTGAACGAGTCCAGTGAGATTCAGATTGCATTAGATTGAGTGCCATTTTTAAGACTTTTTCATAATATTTTCATAATGATGAGATAATAACATCAATCCCAATTATTTCATGTCCCATGCCTTTTTGTATGTAATAGTAGTGTGAGTGATATGTCCTTGGTGATATTAAATATACAGGATTTTTGCATGAGTTCGACGAATTATGTAGATTTCTCAGGTATTATTTCTGCTAAAATCCCACATTTCCATCTGTTGTTTTTACCTATTCTTCTCTTGTCTCGCCCTCGCCCCCCCCCGTCTCTTTCGCTCTCCCGCTTTTCAAAAGGAGTTATTAACAGATGTAGTGCTTTACCTTTTCACATCGGCCCATTTACCGCGACCAGAGCTGTCACTCTCTCCCATTCACAGTCCTTTGGGATCCTGCATTAGCCGCGGCCATTACTTCCAAACCTCTCCAGCGCACACAGGAGCTGTCAGGTGGGCTGTCTAATGCAAGCATGCCATTAACATCAACTTAAAACCAGCTTTCGAATGCCGAGCCCTCCCTTATTCATCGCTGCTGTGCTCTTTGGAGAGTTTTTGCACTGAAACTCCACATAGATGGTGTTTGATACTCCTTTCACCCTCATGCAGCTGAAATTTGAATATTTAACACGTGTGAGAGTCCTCTCTCGTCACACCGGGCTCTTCCAGACTGGGAATTAAAGTCGGGAGCATAACATCTCCTCATAAGTGGACTGTCACTCCTCATTCCACACACACACACACACACACACACACACACACACACACACACACACACACACACATGGACCTTGTTTTCCAAAGGGGGGAAAATAACACTTAGAAAAAGTCAACCTTCCATCCCATGCAGCCAAACGAGAAATCTAATTTCATGGGAAATGTAATGGATAGAATAACTGGAATGATTTCCTCCATCTCTCTTTAATTAGCCCCTTTTTAATCACTGAGCCTAAGTGAATATCCCGTGCAGTGTCTGGCAGCTGGAACGGCTACTTTGTTATAATCATTTTTCTTTCTTATGAAATAGTTTTGATTAGTGGCGATTCGCTATGAATGTACATTTAACGCCCAGCAGCCTGCAAAACAACGTGAGCATGATGATCGAGAAACTCTCCCTTCTGTCTGTCTTTGTCCCAGTAACAAACAATATTGTGTCTTCTTGATAAACATTTAAAAAGTGCCAATACATGAATATGATTAAAATGGTTCTTAATTACAAAAGATGTCAGGACTCAGGAATAGATATTGCTTTAAAAATAATCAGGAAAAAGCCATGCTCTTTTTTACAATAATTAACGTAATATGTACAATCAGATATATGATGGAGTATTTGCATTAGTATGCGGATATCTATATTACGGATATACGGACAACATTTTACTCCAGGATGCTGATCTGGCTTTGAAATGTCAACGCTTGATTGCGAAGACATCTCCCATCATCCATCTCTCCTGCGTGCTTACATGTCAGGGTGGAGCACGCAGAGCCGAAAAAGAGAGATGAATCCGTCACATGGAAAGATGTTATGATATTTGCGCTCCTGACCATCTTTCACATCCTTTGAAGAGGAAATGACACCTCTTTGAATAATGACCCTATTTAGTTTATGTTACTCAAACTAAGGCATGTGAAATTGGCACTGCAACACTTTTCAAACTTCTGTATGTAAAGTTTTTCACTTTTTTCTTTACACAAAGTAACGCGATGCATATTGGTAGGGAACAATATATCCTAACATAACTGTACTCAACCTCTCCACCCTGTGCTCGCTCAAGTTGGCACAGCGTTACAAATGTGCCACAAAACCAACCAATCGGAGAACTCAAGGAGGTCCATTCTGACTGGCTTATTTCAGTTAATATGCGTTTTAGGACATATTAAGTACAATGTGATTTTCTGGATTCTTTCCCCCCATTCTGTCTCTCATAGTTGAAGTGTACCTAGGATGAAAATTACAGGCCTCTCATCTTTTTAAGTGGGAGAACTTG